ATAGGTATTGATATGACTCATTTCCTGGAAAGTATATACAATTTAAATTACCTCTAAGAATCAGTAAATATTTAAAACAAAGTGTTTGCAAACGTTAAGTAAAAAATTCAAGATATTCAGCAAATTATTTACAATAGATGTCTACTTAAACGACCTGCGTATAGAATAAAGTAAGTTAAATAAACAAATAAATTTAAAATAATTGTTTATTTTTTTTTACAATTAAATGATTGCATTAATATTTGTTCGTTAATAAAACCAATATAAAGTACCAAAAGCGTTATTACATCACTATAACTAAGCCATTTATGTGCACAGAATGGTGTGGTAGAGGCTTGTAGGCACCCACGCCAGTACCGCTTTTCTGCCGTATAAGTGCTTTTTCTACGGAACCGCTTCAAATATTTAAAAAAGTAATCAGTGTTTTAGAAAGAGAAATATATTCTACAGATGTTTTATTTGAGCATATTTCGCGCTATTGTTGGCCGTTTAATTACAAACGACGCTTTATTTTCAACTTGAAAATTGTTTTGATAAAATGTTTAACTTTACTGGTCTTTCTTATTGCCGAGCCAGCTATTTTTTAAATATTTTTTCATGTTTTATTATTCTATGACTATTTAGCTTTAATAAAAGACCTACCATGAGGAAATTAAGCCAAGTGCTGATTCCCAGTGACCAAAAAACTAACTAAAGTTAAAGTCGTCAATCCGCCATCTTTGGACGCCATTTTGGGGCAGTGCGTTCATTTTTTTGTGGGAACATTGGTTTTTTTTTAATAAATAGTTACAAGGCAATTTATAGGGATGGAGGGGGGGGGGAGATGCACGATAGGAGAGTCTGGCCCACCGTGTATTGGTGATAATACGGCATGTTATAAGAGAAGAAAAATAAAAGGAAAAAGAGAAATAAGAAAATAATAATAGAAAGATATCAAACAATAAATATCAACTGCTCTGATGTACTCGTGCAGTGTATTCAGTGAATAATCAGAGAAAAATAGGCAAATACTGAATTAAAAATAAAGTGAAAAATATTATAATATATTTGATCAATTATATTTTTGATTTGGGTATTATTAACTAATTTATGTTCAGTCACTTGTTGAAATGAATCAGCATTTTCTAATGACTCATGACTTAGCAGAATGGAGTAGATATTTTTCATGTGACAACTACAAGCAAAAAATAAATGAGCGGAGAAGTTGAAGATGAAGAATTTTTCTCTCTTGTTAACAAAAGTTAATGAGCGGAGGGAGGGAGGAGAGTAATTGATCACTTGCTCAGTGAAAAGAAGGAGCTCTCTTATCATGATATTGAGGAGCGCTCATTTACAAGGAAGAAGAAATTCAGGGATTGTGAAATAGGTAACTGATTCATCTTAATAAGAAAATTATATGAAATTACACAGTTTTAAAAACATTTGTTGGATGAAATTAGAAACTAAATGATGGTTTCATATATACGCTGAAAACCTTTATTTTAAACAATCACAAAGCCAAGTTTATAAATAAAAGTAGACATTTTGTTTAAGAATACTATTCAATCTCAGTTTTATAAACTATTGTGCGTTGTAGACCAGAACTATTGATGAAACACCAGGTAATTAAAAAAAATATAGAATAACACATATTTAAAGCTGTTTATCGTTTTTTATTTTTTTTTAAGAAGCAATTGTTTTTATTAAACATCCTGAAAGAAACTAATTAGGAAATAAAGACTAATTTTTCCATCCTCAAATTAATTGCCTCCCCTCTATTTAAAAAAAATGTACTCTCTTTTGACAACGCTCTAACAGTTAGTTCAGATGAAATTGTTATCTAAATGTCAAAAAATTTTTTTTTTAAATAATAATGAATTCCCGGTATGGACCTACGCAGACTAAGGCAGGGAGGAAGTTGCCACCCCCTAAAAAATTTGAAAACAAGTAAAACATACTGTAAATCAAAAGGTTTAACGAAAATTCAAGAAAATTAATTTTTAAAAACTGTTCTATTTATGTATTGTATTTCATATGAAAATATTTCATAAAAAAAAGTCCCTATTCACCTCCTACCCATGATGACAGCTACGTACGCTCTTGATTCCCGGCATGTTCCAATTTATGGATTAATTTAATAGTAAAACATTATTAAAATGTCTGAGATTACATATAACATTACATTTCTAATTTGTATTTTGATTATTCTGGATTATGCCTTGGATATTCTTCCACATTAATTTATTGTGCAAATTATTTTCTTCATAATATAATAATAGTTTAATTTGATTTAATGTTATTATATTAATTTGTTTGTTAATATACTTCCAATAATACGGCATTTCAGTAATTCGCCATTACGTATTTCGAAAAAGCTTAACAGTTTCAGAAAATGTTCAAGTGAAAATAGAGTTGTTCTACTTTCACTTGTATTCTTTTCATATAAGAATAATTCTGAATGATTTCATATGGCTAATTGATGTTTAAAACCTATGACGAAACAAATAGTTTTTGTTTAAAATCATTTTTAATAAACACTTTGTGAGCCAAAATAATCATAATTGACTGGGTGCGCCGCAATCTAAATTTTCATGTTGCTTTGTAAAAAAAAAATCTATTTAAAAATAAAAAGCTTGGCCAACTCACTTGCTAAAGAGTTAAAATTCTTCCAACGGAATTTAATAAATAAAAAAACATAAAGCTTGTTAGATATAATGTTATTGTTTTATTTTTAACTGAGGAATGTTCGAGGTAAATTTTAATATTTTAAATACTCCCGAAAAGAGGGACCACCTGATACGAATATATATGTATAGAATTATTGTGCATTATTGGAACTATTATCATTATTTATGCTAAAAAAAGAAGTGATTTCAGAACTGCGAGAACAAACAGTTATGAGTTAAAATATAATTTGGAACTAAAATACAAAATTATAGAAGTATTATAAGTACACTGTTTCTAGAAGGTTCTAAAAAATACTTTGGATAATCTGCATTTAAACCATTTATTTCTTGTATTTACCGTTATTTATTGTTATAATTATAAAAATGTACCGATTTGTACCGAAAACAGGTATAAAAAATATTGTTCGTTTGTTTATTTGGGGTTTAGTAGGGAGTGAAACAGCCAGTTCTTCATCAACGGCCGTTAATTTATTGAACTTGGTTGAGGTTTGTTGGTTATCCACCAATCCCAGCCTGATATAGGAATAAGTGAAAGACAACCAGAGTTCTCACAGCTCAGATGGTCGTTTGTAGATGTTGGGGGCAGGAGGATTGATCAGAGGATGTAGATAAAAAACATGTAAGTACATTAGTATATTCCACTAATGTCTACGATTATATAAACAAGGAAAAGTCCAAATCCTATAAAAATACATTGAAATGTAATATGCGAAAATAATTTTTAAAAGTTTCATCCGGCCACTTTTAAAAAACAAAAGAAATGTTTTAAAAGAAAATAAATAATAGTTAGGTGTAAAAAATAAACCCCCATTGCGCCTGTTTTTCGTAGACCTGGAGCCATCACAAGATATTGAAAAATATATGACATAAAAAGAATCTAAAGAGGGTGAAAGTAGAAAAACCATACCCTAATCTTCCAGGCTTTCAATGGCCTTACATACAGCCTCCGAAATGCCGCGAATATCACGACTGGCGAATGAACCAAAACAACACAAAATATTGTAATTTGTATCATATACCTGGAGGGCTATGTGGCTACAAAGGTTGCCAAATCTATACGGATCTCAAATCTAGAGAACAAATACTCCGAACCAAAGTTGAAAAATCCGATTAAGGAAAGAATTTTGTAAAATCGTGGACTGAGCGGTTTCGTTAGCAGAATTAGTCAGAGGTGGGAAGCAAACCCAATAAATATGAGATTTGGCTGCTACATGTACCACAACACCCTCAGCCTCAAACACAACATCCTATTATTCAAAATATACCTAATCTTCAACTTAAACATCAAATTCTCATATTCTCCCTTCATCAAATACCACAGATCATACCAGTTTGTTAACATCGTTCCTCTCTATTGAAACCCCTTGTTACTCCTCTGATATCGCTTCTTATTAATTAAGTATTCCACCTCGCCCCTTCTTTAAAAAATCGTTAAATCACTTCAAACAAATCAGTAACCATTCTTGTTGATCAGTAACCGTTGATGTGAACTCGGCTAAGTTTTTTTTTTACAGTCAATAAATATAAAGTCATGTCCGGACAACAAATTAATATAAAATCTAAAGTAAGAATGAGTTTCATATATTGAAGATAAGTTGATATTTTTCTGTTAATTAATACAATAAATGGGTTTTATATCGCTATTTAATCTTAAATAATTAAGATTAAAAAATAATTTTTACCGAGCTGAGCCCATTTTGTGTTAAAATCATTACTTTAAATGAGTGATAAGTCTGCAGTAAAAAGAATAAAATTCAAACTACAGAAAAAACTGACAGTTGGTAAATCTCAATGGATGATGTAATAATTGTTATTTTCGTCACAGCCCCTGAATTGGCTATTTTGATAACATGGCGTGTAGGGAGAATGTTGTTCCTCTGCTCACCTCCGTGTTAGAGATTTCCGGTATTGGTTCCTAAAATGAGAAGGAAAAGGGACGGATTCAAAATTGTAGTTGATGAATTTCTTTTTTTTTTATTTGATAAATTAACATTCAAATAATGTAGCTAAAGGATGTATATATGAAATGATAGGTAGCATTTCGGTTTCTCATAAGATTTTGGGAGGGTACATGAATTTGAGGAGGTTCTAGGGCAGATAAGAGGAATATTGAATGAAAATGGAAAGAGATGAGGTAGCTTTGTGTTTAGGGAGATGGGGCGTGAGTTTCCGCCCTCGGCCTCAGGTTATGGGAGTGTTAATAATAATATTAGGAGCGTGCCGTGAGGAGTGGGCAGGGCGCTTGCGTGGCGGCCCTAGCGGCAACAAGCACCCCCTAGTCACCCCCTGCCGCCCGCCCTTCCAAGTCCATTCGGGCTCCGGCGGCCCCCCACCATGGACGTCTTCAACATCACCGACCTCATCCTCACCGATGATAATAAAACCATTGAAAATACTACTAACGTCGAAATCTGGAATGAACTGTCCAAGATTTCCCGAAGTCGAGGAGCATTAGGTTCGGTGTTGTTGATGTTTTCCATCATGACTGTCTTCGGCAATAGTTTGGTCATCGCCGCTGTCATAAGAGAGAGGTACCTCCACACTGCTACTAATTACTTCGTCACTTCTTTGGCACTAGCAGATTGTCTTGTTGGTCTGGTTGTCATGCCTTTCTCCGCTATTTATGAAGTTCTCCAGCACAATTGGTACTTCGGATCTAACTGGTGTGACACTTGGAGATCTCTCGATGTACTGTTCAGCACTGCGTCTATTCTCAACCTCTGTGTCATTTCTCTTGACAGGTACTGGGCTATCACTGATCCTTTCCTCTACCCTTCTCGAATGAGCAGACAAAGAGCTACTCTTCTCATTGCCGGTATTTGGATCTGTTCTGGCGCTATTTCTTTCCCAGCTATACTTTGGTGGCGAGCAGTTAGAGAAGGTACCCCGAGGAACAAATGTCCCTTTACTGACAATCTTGGTTATCTCATATTCTCTTCTACTATTTCATTTTACCTCCCTCTTTTTGTGATGGTATTTACTTATTACAAGATCTATAGAGCTGCTGTCATTCAAACTCGCTCCTTGAAACATGGATCGAAACAAGTTATGATGACAAGGGGTGAAATTGAGCTTACTTTGAGAATCCATCGTGGAAGAAGCTATGTCTATGAAAGCCCTTCCCTCTCCGATGAAATTGATTATTCCATTCCTCAGAACGGTGGTCCCAAATCTATTCAGCAAGGTCGGCATGTCAGTAAGAATTTTTCTCTCAGCAGAAAACTCTCTAAATTCGCTAAAGAAAAGAAAGCTGCTAAGACTCTTGGAATTGTCATGGGAGTTTTCATAATCTGCTGGTTACCATTTTTTGTTGTCAATCTGCTCACAGGATTCTGCTCTAACTGCATTGCTGAAGAAGAACTGGTGTCCGCTATCGTCACCTGGCTCGGATGGATAAACTCCGGAATGAATCCCATCATCTACGTCTGCTGGAGCAAAGATTTCAGAAGGTGAGTTTAGGATAAGATATATTAGAGATAGTTTTTGATATAATAAAATTGTTACTAAAACTCCAACATGTCGAAAATTGAATTGTTTTAACAATCAGAATAGAAATATTTTATCTATTAACTTAGAAACGATTTTTGATTATTTGACTGAAAGTTTACTAGTTTAAATTAATGAAGATTATTATTTTATACAAATCAAAAGCAATATAATATAAATATAATTATAGCTCCAATAAAATTACATTCTAATGACATTTATGAAAAGAGTATATGTTATTAGATTGAGTTATATGCAATAAAAGAGCAGAAAGAGTTTTATTGCAATTACTGAAAATTATTGGGATATCAGTGATACAATGTTACATTTGAGCATTATAAACAATGTACAGTTATAAAATAAACATTAATAATTAATGCTTTGCAAAACTACTAAGATAAAATATTTACCAGTACTTTTATATAATAATTGAAAACAACAAAATACTGCTGTTAGATAGTGGTTTTATCTTAAGTAATTGTTTACAACTTTTTTCTAATGTGAAATTTTCTATTCTGTCATTCGAGTGTTTTCAGATCAAACAAATCTTTTTATAATCAATAGATGGCATGAAGTTAATGATTTAACTTTAACAAAACGCATGATAATAGTTATTAAAAATATTTCTCTTTTTAAGAACACCATTTTGTAATTATAATTAAATATTATTAATTAAAGAGCATACACATATAATATATGTTTAAGATGAAGGAATTTATTTGAACTATTCCCTCCACTTACTCTAGTTTCACCTTATATAAACATATTTTAATTGAAGTTTTAAAAATTGTTTTTTGCTTAAAATTAGAGCTATGCAGTTGCATTATCAGAAACTATGAGAAATTTTTCTGTTAATTTTCTCTGAGTAATCCACTTTAGAAACTCATAATTTTAAAGACATATAAAAATGCACTTATACTTTAAGATGTAAAGAAATGGTCAAAATGTATGAATCATAGTGTTTTGAATTGGAGCCGGAGCGGAGAGGGATTCGATAGATTAGTTTTATTATTCGTTTTATTCCGATCATTAAAATTCCATAATAAGTGTTTATTGATGTTAGTTCCTTTTTTGTTTCAGCTGTTACAATACTTTTGTGATGATCCGGTTCATTAAATAACGGACAGTATATATGTATACATGTATGTGTGTGAATATATATATTTGTTCGGGTAGGTAAGAATATGTTTTTAAACTAAGCTGATTTATGAGATGCATTGGTCTGAAAAAATATTAATTACATACCAAGATAAAATTAATAATAAATCTTATTATGAAGATATAAGGAATAAAAAACTAAGCTGAAAATACTTTGTAGATATTAAATATTTATATATGTTCAACTAAAGTGAATCTATTATAAAAATTGTAATTTTTACTTGAGTGAAATAATGGCGAGGTTAAGGACTATTTGTGTATGGGACACATCAAATCCAATACGAAGTAATAAAAGCAAAGTCCATTTTTCCAAAGCAAAATTTCTTATTCCAATAGATAATAGAGAAGTCCAACAAGACCGATGAAACGAATTAAAAGTATCTAAAATAATTTTTAGGAATAACTTTACGATCAGCCTATAGTTAATATGCCATTTTAATGTTATTATTACAAATTAAAACTAATAATAATAATAGTTCTAAAAAGCATCCACTCTTCGAAAGGGTTGATTTAAATTTCCCGGTAGCTCCCGAAAATTAATTGCCAAAATCAAAAGCAATAAAAACGACTATTAAAAATGTTTAAAATAAGCCTTAATTCTGCCGATATTTTGTATTTTTTTCCTATTTTTTACTTTAACTGGCTAGAGGTATAATTTCTAATGTATTGAGCCAGCTAAAAAGTTTACTGCATTATTCGCTTAAATGTTTGGTTTCTGGTCAGACAATTTTGAGATCAATGTTTGAGTAATCTCCATAGAAAGGAGACAACTTAAATAAAATTAAAACTGTTTTTTTTCAGGTTCGGGTCTCGTGAAATTTCAGAAGTCATAGTGTCATTTATAAATAAGTTACATTTAATTCATTTTATAAAAATTTATAATTAATTCATTTCCCTTTATATAGAATTGAACAACTAATTTTATCATCCATCATAATTTTTTATTCCTACAAAAATGTTTTTTCCAATTCCGAAATTTGATGAATTGCCGATATATATTTTAAATCTAATTTACAAAGTTTTTTAAATTTAAATTTTAAAATTTCAATAGATTGGCCTTCTAGAAGAAGAAGAAGAAGAAGAAGAAAGTAAATTTTATTCTGAGACATTTAGTCCCGTAAGGATAGCTACAGAGAACAAAAAAAATGACAATTGTCTGCTACTATAAGAAAATAAAACATAATTAGTTAACATAACATAATAATCCGACCTTAAAATTAAAATAAATTAAGTACACGAAAACATATTAATTTGCACATAAATATTTATTGCATATAAATACAGAGTGTGTTCACATATTTGTTCTGATTAACAATATTGTTAATATATAAGTAACAGTTATATAACAGTCAAATGAAGGTGTCAGCTCTTAAACACGAAATTAAGAGCTGCATAATATCTTACATGTATATTTATATATATTCGGAAGATTGGTTGCTCAAGAGGTGGAAGAATAATTCTTGTTTAAATGTGGTTAAGGAAGAGGTTTTGCGTATGAAGGTAGGTAATGAATTCCAGAAAAAGGTAGGACGCATGACAAAGGATTTTTGTTCGCCAATTTAACATTAACAGCATTGCCTCACATGAAATCTGGCGCTAATTCAATTGGTATACTTGGATTTTCAGTAGCTAGTAAATTAATATTATCAATAAATAATTTTCAAATGATGCAAATGATTTAAATTATCGTTGACATAGTTACTAAGACTTTTTTAATTTATTCGAATTTTATTTACAGTTAATCGAAAGAGTAATGTTAATAATATACTTAACTAAAAAAAAAATCGGAAAAAGGTGACCTGAAGACTGGCTTTAATAAAACTGAGGGCTCAATATACAAACATTGTAAAAGTTTAAGTAGCTATAGAAAAACTTATTTAATAAACAAAATTAAAATATTAAAAGTATATTATATAGATAAATAAGTATAAAATAATATATGAATATGTAAATAATAAATTATAGATGAAAACAAATTCAAATTTATCCTCAATTATTTTAACTTGAATACGAGAAAAACTAAATATTTTTAATATACTATTAAGCCAGGCATATAATATCTCATCTTGAATGAAATCTTTATAAAAAGTAAAACAAATATCTAAAATAATATTGAATTACACTAGAATGAGTACTATTGTTACAGCCTTGAGTTTTGCCCTATTTTCTTCTGAAAGGACTTATTATAGGTCAAATAACAGATAAAACTGGGTTCTTGATGTCATTTCAAGATTTTACTGTTTTCCACCTACTGTTCCACATATCAAGATATTTACTAAGAATTTTTTAAAATGTTTATTGGACAAGGTAGGTAATAATAAAATCAAAATTTAAATTAAAAAATAAGTAAAAGCGGTTTAGTTAAAAGTTAAACTACGGATATAATTTTGTTAATGTGGGCTTAATAATTACAAGGTGACCTATTCCAAATTTCTTATATATATATGTATATATATATATATATATATATATATATATATATATATATATATATATATATATATATGTATTTACAACTTTTTCATAATCGACCTTTGAGTATTAAATTTAAACTTAACTATATAATTGGGAATAAGGTCATTTAATTATTATTTAATAAACTATTGAATGTTCATTTCTTCTGTTTATTGACGTTTAGATCCCGGTATTTTCTTTTTATTAGTCAACCATGGGATCCTCTTCAAAGGTAGAACTACAAATAGCTCAATCGGTACACAATATTACTTCCATATGACTTTAATAACAATTATTTAAAAATGTTTAACCTACTTTTAAAAAATAGAGCTTCGATCAGGCCAGGGACACACCGACAGTCTCAGCACCGTCCACTAGCACTGATATTATGCTACTGGATCGCTAAGCGTCTGCCCTCCCTGGTCCTGAGCCCGAAGACAAATTATTACACAATAAACAATGAAAAATTGCATCTATTTTATATAAAACAATTGAAAGATGCTTCTATGATCAATATACCAGCATCAATAATACCAGCATCAATAAAACATATCTATGAATAATAAAAACAGCTTGTAGTTCTAGCTTTGAAGAGGATCCCATGGTTGACTAATAAAAAGAAAATACCGGGATCGAAACGTCAATAAACAGAAGAAATGAACATTCAATAGTTTATTAAATAAGAATTAAATGACCTTATTCCCAATTATATAGTTAAGTTTATATATATATATATATATATATATATATATATATATATATATATATATAAATGGCTTTATTATGGATAAATTATATTTACAAGTATCATAAATGTTGTTATCTTTATATTTTATTTACTTATCTAACGTTCTGTAGCTTTATGTAAATTTTCTGATTGTTCTGTCTTGTGCATACATTGTAAAATAAAGATTAGACACATTTTTTTCTATTTATAGGAAGTGTTAATATCACCTGCTGTTTTTTAGTTTCTCTACTTGATGAAATTCATATTTATAGAGAAAGAAATAATAATAATCGGAAGTGGAATAATAATTTACCCAAACATTGACAAGATGCAAAATTTGTATATAAGTGTCATAAAGGGATTAAATATTTAACATCGCAATACATAACTATAATCCAAATGACAATCATAGAGATAAAAAATAAATGTAAATAAATTATTATTAGAAGGTATAAAATGGAATTGTCAACACAAACATAGACTTGTTCTGTGTGACTGAGTAGCCATAAGCAGAAAGTTGGTATTACAAATAAAAAAATCTGATGTGTCCACTCACACGACTTTCCTACCTATTTCAGAACAGTTTTTATATATTGAAATATATCCATTAAGAAAAAAAAGTTGAATT